CCGGTCCGGGAGCTGGTGAGTGCTCTGCCCGGCGGGGACGGGACCGGCGCGGTCCCCGGCAAGGGGAGCCAGATGTGAGCCGTGCAGCAGATGTGAGCCGTGCAGCCAGATGTGCCGGGAGGGATGCGACCTAAGTCTGCAGGGATGGAAAGCAGAGGGGACGCGGGTTCCGTGTCTCCCCGGCCCGGCAGTCGCTGCTCAGTGCTGTCCCGGGATCGGAACCGCTTTGGGACCCAAAGATGGATCCGGAGATGACGCGACCTCGGAACAGCCGCGGGGGATGGACAGACTGACGCGGGAGAAACCGCAGAGGCCGAAGCAGAACTAGAGGGGCTCGGGTGAAATTCCGTGTTCATTTAGTGCTTTGTTTCTCTTTCAGGCTGCTCTTCCTAAAGCTACTATCTTGGATTTGTCCTGTAACAACCTCATTTCCTTGCCGGTAAGGGGCTAGAGAGCCTTCATGGGGATGAGTCTGCTGGGGAATATTTAGAAAAGAGCTGGTGCTTCTGTAAAGGCTCACGGGGAGGTTTGGAATTGGCACTTTGCCCAGCCTGGGGTGGCTGAATGACCCTGCTGTCAGCGATGGGGCAGTGCTGGCAGTAGCTTTGGCTGAGGCAGGAGAGAGGAAAAGGTTGCAGTGCATGAAGATTGCAGCATCCCCAGGTGAATACAGACCAGTTTCATCAGCAGTGGAGACTCAGGTTTGTTCCTGTCCTGTTGCCATACATCACCTTGTCAGTCTGTCTTATCTGTCCCACTGTGTTCCACTTCCATCTTCTGAGGAGAGCAGTGATCTTCCTCCATTACAGTTCTGTAGTAAGTTTGGGGTTTGTGGCTGATGCGAGGTCCAGGCTCTTTCCACATCCTCCCTGCCGAGGTTCTCCATAAAGGTGCTGACCATCTTTCTCTGGGTTTTGTTTGGGTTTTAGTCAGACTTCTGCAGTTTGATGCATCTGGTGAAACTGGATTTGAGTAAAAATCGGCTTCAACAGCTGCCCTTGGACTTCGGACGCTTGGTCAACCTGCAGCACCTGGACCTCCTGAACAACCGTTTAGTCACTCTGCCAGTCAGCTTTGCACAGCTCAAGGTAAAACTGTGTGCTGGGCAGTTATGTAAAGCTTTGGGATGCAGCCCAGGGTCTTGTGATCCTGCTCAAGTTGATTTCCCTGGTAAAGCATCCATCCTGCTGACTACCCACTCCAAAATTCAGCTGGCTCTGCACCGCAGCTCGCTGGAAATACCCTCAGCCTCCTGTAAATGTCTCTGCTCATCTTCTGTACCTGTTTCATTCATGTGAAAACTGAGTAGTTCTCTGCTGCTGCTTTGGGTCTCTTAAATCATTGCAAGACTGCTGTGCTCTCAGAGCCTCCCCTTTGTCATGCCTTTGTGCAGAACCTGAAGTGGCTGGATCTGAAGGACAATCCTCTGGATCCTGTGCTGGCTAAAGTGGCAGGAGACTGTCTGGATGAGAAGCAGTGCAAGCAGGCTGCTGTCAAGGTAAGGAATCTGCTTTTACTCTTTTTCTTAGCTTATGTGGCTCTGTTCTCCCTGTCTTTACTTAACAAGCTGAGTGGATGCTGCAGCAGTTTGAAGTTTCTTCAGCCAGTGAGGTGCAGGTTCACTGCACTGACTGCACTGCTGTGCCTGTGAGAACAAAAATCAGGCTGAGGGGGACTCTCCTCCATTAGTGGAGCTAAGAGAGGATTAAATGCTGGTTGCCAAGAAAGTGGAGGCATAATCACACAAAATAATCCATGCCTAGGCTTAGAGTACAAAATCTCTGGAGAAGTTCTGGCAAACTTTAGGCTCACGTAAATAGAAGTGTTCTGTGATCCTCTGTATCAGAGAGCACCCGTTTGCCACATTTGTTTTTGATGGGGAGGTGTTTCTTAACAGCACAGATTCACGTGGGAAGGTGTGAGCTCTTTCTCTTCAGGGCTGTACCTGCAGGGGTAGGTCAGGGTTGGGGGTCAGCCACACTCCAGCTGTTCTGTCCTGAACTGACTGTGCCATGAGCCTTCTGCACAGCCCTCAGGTTGTTTTCTTGGACCTTGAAGGTACTGCAGCACATGAAAGCGATCCAGTCCGAGCAGGATCGACAACGGCAACGGAAGCTCCAAGCAGAGCGAGGTAGGCACAAAGAGCCCCCACGTGCTGTCTGCTGAGGACTGCTCTGGGTCTCTCTAACACACCCAAGCACACTGATTGCCATCTAACAAATTGCCATTTAACAGATAGTTGTAAACATCCAAATTCTGAGGATTCAGGGAGTAGTAGGGTAGAAGGGCTGGAGTGAGACAGCTAGCAGGGGGTAAACTGTGATTTCTTGCCTGAATAATAGTTAGATCTCTAGATGGAATGTGCTATAGGTTACCTAAAAAAATATGAAAGAAGAGCACAGGATTTATTTTAAGAGAAGCATAATTCTGAGGGAGCAAAAGGTAAGGTATATAATACGAAAAAAGAAAATATGTAAAAGAGGGTAGTTAATTGGTTTCCTCATTCCAGCTGGGATCTGATAAGCAGGTAATAAAGAAGGCCATCATAACCCTTTATATAAAAGGGGAAAACTTTGCTGTTAATCCCCAGAAATGGAGAAGAAGCGTGAGGCAGAGCAGCGAGCAAAGGAGGCTCAGGAGAGGGAGGTGCGGAAGCGGGAGAAGGCAGAGGAGAAGGAACGCAGAAGGCGCGAGTATGACGCTCAGAAGGCTGCGAAACAGGAGGTGGAGAAGAAAACTAAAAAACAAACGGTGCAGAACCGAAGTAAGTAGTATCCACGTGGGGTGGGATTGTGTCAGATTTCACCTTCATCAGACTTTGATGCTGCCAGATTTGCTTTTATGCAGCTCAGGTACTGGGGGGTGGTGGGAGTCAGGGGGGAACCTGTAGGAGTTCTGATAAGCTCTGCTGCTGTGTACTTTTCCCTGTGCTCCCATGAACTGCAGACTATAAGATTCAGGAAGTTCTCTAGCTGTTCCTAGAGAGAATTTCCCTCTACTCATTTCTTCAAGTGTACCAAACTCTGCAAAACCAGATCTTGTGCAACACAGAGATGCTTTACACCCTCCTCACTGCTGCCCATGAAACTAAATCTGAAACTTTTCATCCCAAACAGTTAAATCCTGCACATTTACATACTAATCAGCACCAAGTGATGAAAATCCACAAAATCATTAAGGTTGGAAAAGACCTCTGAGATCGAGTCCAGCCTATGATCTAATACTACTACGTCAACTAGGCCATGACACTAAGTGCCACATCCGGTCTCTCCTTAAAATTCATGACAAAAGCCAACTACAGCAGAGGCTATAAAGTATCTTAGCTGAACAGTTTGTTTCCAAATGTAAATGTTAAAGATACTTGATGAATTCCTGTGCATGTTCTCATTGCAGAACCAGCCTCCAGCTCTCGTGCCTCTCAGCCCGCCCGGCACAAGCCCTCGTGGTCACGGTCGGTGCTGAGGGTCCTGCTCTTCGTGCTGTTCTGCATCCTCTGTGCTCTGGCTGCCTGCAAGCTGACAGAGCTGCAGCGTCAGCCTCTGTGCATCAGTGTGAACACCCTCTACGAGGACGTGGTGGCTGCCCTGCAGAACCACAAAACCCTCCAAAACATGCTACAGCACAACTCGCAGCAGTGATTGTCCTGGACGGGCACTTGCTTCGTCAGCATCTCCTTCCACCATCTACACAGCCAGAATTCCTATGGAATTGTGTTCTGATGAAACTGCTTGGAACCAGGTGGTTTGCTGGTCCACTCCACAGAGCAGAGTTATTGTTCAGATCATCTTTGCTGTGCATGTTTCGCAGTTGGCCTGTCACTCCCATTATTTGCGCACGTTAACCTAAACTTGTTAGCACTCCCTACTTCCAAGGGGTGTTCCCTGAGGTTATGAGGTCCAGGAAGCTACCAGTCCATAGGAGTGGGAAAAACCAGCCCTCATGTTACTTGGGTAGCTGTAACTCTGAGCTGGAGGTGGAAGGTTTTTAATCCATGTCCATTCCTTGCTCTCATTTCTGTTCGTGCTAAAATCAGTGATATGGCTGTATGGGAACAACACACTAAGGCTCACTCCAGGACCAATTACAGGCATGTAGGATGGCTGTGCATCCATGTGTTGGAGCGAAGAAGCTGATGTGCTATTGAAAGGAGCTGAAAATTTTCAATACAACAGTTTTCACAGCAATTTGTCTGAACTGGATGTTTGTGTTGCTTAACGCTGTTAGAATTTTAATTAGGTCTTTTAGGAATAGCCACAAGTTATTTCCGAGCTGCTGCAGGCGCGGCGGGCAGCGCTGGGTGGCACTGTGGGAGCGCTGCTGGCAGGAAAGGGTTTCCTATCGGGATTGGGGGAAGGCCGGGAGGTTCGGTGTTTTACAGCCCGAGGAAACGCCTCTGCAAAGCCCTGTGAATCGTTTATAATTTCCTTTAGAATTATTTTAATCAGTTTTAAATTTTCCTTAAAAAAACCCAACAAACAGAAGTTTGTCCTATCCTTCAGGGCTTTGCGAGCACTAAAATGAAGTTAAGTGCAGGTTTCAGAATATCTGTGCTGCAGACTCCACTGGGACATCCAACAGTGGTCCCCAGAATCGCTCGCTCTCTTCTTCTACCTGGGATCATCGCTGTGCCAAGAGCAGTGCCATGGGGAAATCATCCACAGCAGTTCATACCAAGGTCACCATCAAAGCAGTCACCGTTTTGTAACCCGATGGTAAACCGTCTGTGGTTCCTTGAGTGTCACACAGGAAAATGCAGCATCATGAGTATCAGATAAACAGGAGGAAGGGCTGACTGTGCCTTAGCAGGGTATGAGTTTTCAACGCTTCCTTGAAGTAGCTTTAGGCTTTGCTTTTGGTGTCTAACTCATCCCGTTCTTTAAAAGGTCCTTGCTCCCTATCCGTGAGTTTTCAAAGCTTCCTTGAAGTAGCTTTAGACTTTGCTTTTGGTGTCTAACTCATCCCATTCTTTAAAAGGTCCTTGCTCCCTATCCAGACATGTTTGGAAAAAAAACCAAACAACATCCAAAGCAACATTTCACATTTCATACAGAGTTGGAAGGAACCTTTGAGGATCATCTAGTCTAACTCTTTGCTCCCTGCAGCCCATCCTGCTGGCAGGGCCTGGCTGTGCCATCCAGGAGTGCTGCTTAGGTTGGCAAGTGCCAGGCTAACAGGATTTATTGGTCCAGGTCAGCAGCTGTGGGCCAGGTCAAGGCTCCTGCTGGATACCTGGAGTGAGTGTGGGAGGTGGGGATTTTCCATTGCAGGCAGCTGCAAAGACTTAACTTCCATACAGTGGCTGCAGTTTAATTCTCTCAGCACTCATCTCAGTAAGTGCTGCAGTCACAAAAGCTCTCAATTGTCCTTGTGTGCACACAAATGCTCACAGCCTCGTGGACAGGATGTGTTCCCCAATCTAATTAAAAGGAAGCTTTTTCTGCCAACTGTTTAGGCCTCATAATTCCAGTGCATATAATCAGATTTCAAGACCCTCTCTAGATTAAGCTGTCTGGAGACTGAATCAGGGCAGTCTAAATTTATAGCTGAAAATTAGTCTTACTCATTCCCATCTGCCACAGCATAACTCTCTGAGAGTCTGTTTCACGAGGTAAAGTTCCTTCACCTCACTAGAGCAGGTGCTGGGGGAGCAGCATCGTGTGGCTTTAGCATTGGGATTTGTCCCAGAGGAGGGAGAAGGTAACTCCTTGCAGTTCAGGAGAGCAGCAGGAAGTATTCCTTTCAACAGAGAACATACCTGTCTATATTCAAGACAACATATTAAGAAGCAAAGACTATTACTCTTCAGAATGATTTATCTTATAGAAATACAAATAAAGGAATGTCAGTACTAGAAGCTGTGTGCAACTCCTGCTCTTAGGAAAGATGTTCACCATCTTTCCCTGTGTAAACTCCAGTCATTCAACAACTTTATCCAACTTTTTTTTCCTGATACAATAAAGTCTAAACATGTTTTAAGTCTTTGAGGGAGGATTGAAGGCTGCTTGTTATCTTCTTCCCAGAAGAAAACTGAACACTTCTACCAGACAAACCACAAAACCTCATTCCCTGGAGCTACCCAGTGGAATCCAAATAGAGGTCAGGGTTGTGGGAAGTCATCTGCAGGTAGATGCGTCGGGACAGCTCGGGCCCGATCCGCCGGGAGGTGGCTGTCACACCCTCCCCACGGCACACAGAGATGTTAGCCAACATGTTCTCCTGCTCCTGCTCTGAGGAGCATCTGCCATAGGCCTAGAAGCAACACAAAGAAACAACAGTATTATCCATCTACATCCATTGCTGAAAAAACCCAACCCATCAGAGCCGTGCACCTGCAGCTGCTCCACCCTTCCACAGTGTTCACCCAGTCCCTCCCCAGGTCCCATCCATGAGTTTACAGAGCAGAACCAATGCTGCTCCCTCAGTGGTCTAATCTGGGAAGCTGAAGCAGCAGGTGCCAAGCAATCAGTTCCTTCACTACCTCACTGAACCACTCAGGGTGTCTATCTAATTGAATACCAATGAAATGATTTCTTCCACCCTTCCATTAGCTGGCTGCCCACACACAGTGCTGGGGATTCCTGAAGCATCCTCACCTGGACCAGCAGCTGAGGAGAAGGGTAGGCAGACACGATAGCCTCAGCCATCTCGGGGCTGACACGGTTAAACTGCTGTATCTGCCTCTTCCAAACTTTCAAGAGGCCCTTCCCAGATTGATCCACCTTCACCCCTCCACACCAGCCCTTCTCCAGGTAGAAGGAGAACCCTGTCTTCTCTCGCTCTCGCCTACGGAGGACAAGGAATGGGGAAGCAAATCAGACAATGAGGCTATGAAGAAAATTCCTGTCCCTGCACCTGTTGTCAAAGAGGCAGAGAACCGTCCCTCATCCATGCTGTAGAGACACCACTGGCATCAAATTAAACACCAACAATCTGATCCTGTTTTCTTTACATATGTTACCAATTTCTTTGGTTGGACCCAGATTTCTGCTGAAAAAGAAACAATCCTGTTCTCAGCAGCAATCCTGACACAAACCAACACAGACAAAGTGGCAAATGAGAATCACTTTGTTTGTCAACCATAATAAAACACTTTTACATGCTGTTTTTAATGACATCTCAACTCTTCTCATGGCTGAGATGGAAAAAAGAGCAGCTGCTGTGACAGGGATGCCAGGATCGTGTGAGACTGCCCAAGACGTCTTTCTTTGCTATTGCTGTGCAGGCTGCTGTCCCTCTTATCAGTGGAAACAGCAAAGTGGTTCATTCTCACTCACATCTCTCTTGGTTACACATTGAAAAGCTGGTGCTGTAAGAGCCCAACCCTCCTTGCATTCCCTTCCCACTCCGAAAATCAGACTGAAGAGCTTTACTTGATGTCAAGACTCCAGTGCAAAAACCTGAGGGTGGTCAGGTACTGGAATAAGTTGTCCAGAGAAGCTGTGGCTGCCCCATCCCTGGAAGTGTTCCAGGCCAGGCTAGATGGAGCTCAGAGCAACGTGGGCTGGTGGAAGATGTCCCTGCTCATGGCAGGAGGGTGGAATTAGATGATTTTTCAGGTCCCTTCCAACCCAAACCATTCTATGGTTCTATGCAACCAGGATCTGCTCTCATCCTATCTGGGGAGGACATCAGTTTTGAGAACTAACTCTGTGTTCAAGGTGCTGAATTAGCAGTTGCTCCTTGTCACCTTCTCCTTTAAAAGCCATTACACACTGCAGTACAGTCATGTGTCTGCTACTCCCTCCCAGTGACCACAAGGGCAGCCTCTCCCAAGGCATGTCTAAACCTCCTCTGCTTACTCACTTGAACGGTGCCTCAGCCACAGCTTTTGCAAACATAGTGGCAAATTCCCCAAGCTCTTCACAGCTCTCAAAAAAGCTGACTTGGACTTGTGTGCAGAGCTGTAGATCCACCAGGGCCTGTATCCCCATTGGAAACAACAAGTGGAAATTGTGTTACTAGGTCAAATGTGCAAACAGTGGCAGACAACAGGAGATGGCTGCATACCTGGTTTAAAGGTACTCACTTCTTCCATGTCCCTCTTGGTTAACTCCAGGCCAGAATCCTTAGCTTCCTTTCTTCTCTGTTTACTCTGTTTCCCCTGGCTCCCACTCGCTGCTGCCTGTCGCTGTCTGTGTTTTGATTGAGCTCCGAGGGCCCTAAGAAGAGCAAAACAAGACTGGGCTGACAGGCTGGATGGACCTTTGCTTCTGTATAACACATAGTGGAGCATTTCTGGGTGGGAATACTTCTTGTGCTCCAGTCCTTGCTAGAAGGAATGAATGCAAACACCTGCAGCATTTTTCAAGGCCAAAAACAACACAGAGGAAAAACGTTTGACCTGAAATAATTCTCTACTCCAACTACTGCCAGAGCCAGAATTTTCCCAGGCATTTTCTCCATCACATGAGCTACATAGCTTTGCAGGGTCTCCTTCTGCCCTTCTGCACAGCCAGCAGCCTCCTGTAAAAATCAAGGAGAAAAGGAGTTAAACCATTCTGAGGTATGCATGGAAACAGAGCAAACTACAGCTCAGGGTCTGCTTTGAGTCTGTTCACACTGCTCTTCAGGGCAAACAGGCAAGACTTGACCTGGTGTAAAGTTACAGCAGAAAGAAATACAAAATTATCCCACTGATGTAGCAATGTTCAGGACCGGGGAAAGATTGTAACTAAGCAAGAAAGCTTGCCAGAACTTTACATTGTACATTCCCTGTGGTTTTGATCCATTAATGGCTTCTAAACTCAGATTCCTGCCTACTGAAACCCTGGCTCCATCCCACACCAAAACCTTCCTGCCACCAAGAGGGATGACAAAACACCAGCCTCACAGCAAGGCATGCTCAGGAGCACAAAGTCATCAGTTCTCTCACTTGTTTGTAGCTGTGAGCCATGGACAAAAACTCCTCCAAGCCAAGCAGGACCAGGACATTTGGTTCTTCTGTCCATTCATCTCCTCCTCCCATCTGTTATGAAAACAAAGTCAGGCCAACAGCCTGTTTAGAATTCACTCCCACTCAGAGCTCCAAGCAGGGAGATTAGAGGGTGTTTACTTGGGTTGCTAAATACAATTACTAACGAGTACAAATAACAGAGCAGGAAAAGCGCTGGAACACGGAGATTTTGCTTGCACACCTGAGGTGACACAGTCTTTCTCCTCCAGGTGATGCTGCAGGGAACAGCCTGATCCTCAACCACACAGGAGTAATTGGCAGCCTGCAAAGCACTGAGGATCTGCCCACCACCTTCTACCTGTAAGAGGACTGAGATCGATGCACAGGTCAGGCCTCCACAGACAGGAGACAACAGCCAACACGAGGAGAAACAGGCTGTGAGGACAAGCACCTGGATCCAGCACCACTGTGATGTATTTCTGGCACTCCCCTGGCCGCTGAGCTTTCAGCATCTTAGCAAGGGCTTTTCTCCTCTCTTTTTCCTCCTCCTGCTGCCTCTTCTTTGCTTCTCGCTCCTTCCTCCTCTGCCACGCATTCTGGCACATCGCCTCCCTTTCCTTCTGACTGTATTTTTTCTTCTTGGGAAGGAGTGGAGATGCATCTGGGCTCACTCTGCTTACCAAGGGGCTATTAGGCTTGTCTGAGCCCGGCAACGAGCACACGGCGAGTCTCTCAGCACCACCTCCTCTACCACACACCTCTCCGGGCAACACTTGGGCTTCCCGCACCACCTCACCACCAGCTGCATCCCCACCACGCGGGCTGCAGTGCTCCGAACCCACTGCCACCCTCTTCTTGATCCTCTCGGGCAGTGACATCACCTCCTCCTCTTCGCTCTCACTGCTCAACACCACAACCGCCGCCTCAAAAAAAATCGCCGTGCGCGACAGCGACGACCGCATCAGGAAGGATAAACTCGGCAGCTTCTCCTCCTCCTCCTCCTCATCGCAGCC